TTAAAGTTTTGATATAACTTGATTAAGGCCAAGTATACGTAATTGCACGCCTCTAGCGGAATTTGGGATAAAAAACTTGCATCATTAGTTACGCGAGTTATCTCCCCTACTCCAAGAAAGGAAAAATGGGCACATGAAATTACTTCACGAATCCAAACAAGTATTCCTGTGCTATCTCAAAACTTCAAAGAAATTATCAGAATGACTCCAATCAGAAATCTGAGTATCCTATTGTGAGTTAGTCTGACTCAGTCTCTATTACCACTGTTTTTGTTTTAGACACGCAGGAGCAGGTACACAATACGACTTGTGTTTATTTAAACAGAAAGTAAAAACACCTAACAACAAAATTATAACCAAATAAACCAGTGTCAATTCTGCTTCTATTCGTTTAAAATTCATTAAAATCAAACCAGAATTGACCCCACAATATTTTTTGAAAAACCATAGTTTTGAATGAAATTCACAGTATAGCGTAAAATTGTAGGTAACGAATAATTACATTGTGAATTTGTGTGTTAAACTACAAAGACGTTGGCATGTCTGTTCTTTATGCAATTGAAAATTTTAGGACATGATTTATATTTATGTAAAATTACTAAAAAGTATAAAATTTACTAAGGGGTAATCGACCATTAGTGCAACATTTTTAAGTCGAAGAACAAAGCCAACAACCAAAATAAAATGCTTCGCTTGGTGCAGCTTGTTACGACCGCAGAGGTCGAACCCTGAACAGTTGGGGTAAGTATGGACACAACATTCAAGCTTGATACAGCTCTGAATTTGGATTGTGATTAAATAGTTGACACAGCATAGGTTTCTGACACAGAAAGAATGTGGTCTAAGAACTTGAATTTTTTTAATTTACCTATTATGGTCCAATGTCCAAAATCAAAATACATGGTTAGATTCAGCATATCAAAGAACCCCATATATTCAATTTTTGTTGAAATCAAACAAAGTTTAATTTTGGACCCCAACTTGGACCAACTTGAAAACTGGGCCCATAATCAAAAATCTAAACACATGTTTAGATTCAGCATATCAAAGAACCCCAAGAATTCAATTTTTGTTAAAATCAAACTAAGTTTAATTTTGGACCCTTTGGACCTTAATGTAGACCAATTTGAAAAACAGGACCCAAAACTAAAAATCTAAATACACGGTTAGATTTGGCATATCAAAGAACCCCAATAATTCAATTTTTGATGAAATCAAACGAAGTTTAATTTTGGACCCTTTTGACCTCAATATGAACCAATTTGATAGCGGGGTCCACAAATAAAAAATCTAAATACATGTTTAGATTCAGCATATCAAAGAACCCCATATATTCAATTTTTGTTAAAATCAAACTAAGTTTAATTTTGGACCCTTTGGACCTTAATCCAGACCAATTTGAAAAACTGGACCAAAAATTAAAAATCTAAATACACGGTTAGATTCGGCATAACAAATAATTATAAATAAATGTGGTCAAAGATTTTACAAATCTAATGCGCCATACTGTGCAGTTAAAGATTACTTCTTGAAATTTTTCAATATTTGAAATTTGAAAAAAATAATATTTGAAGAATAATTCTTTTTAATTTCTGAAATCTGAAATGAAAAAAAATTGTCCCCCCACAATTTCTTTTTACCCCCCCCCCCCCCTTTTTCCCCAAAAAAATTCTTTCCCTCAAGATATGGTCATAATCTCAATTCAAATTTCCAATAGAGTTTGCAACCATAATTACCCATTTAAATTTACCATAGTGCTAACTTAATCTATTTTATAATAGAATTTAAAATATAGTGTCAAATCTTTCATATGGATTTTTTAGTAAAAAAAAAGATGCAATATTTGCAGATATTTTTACTGGTCTTCCTTTATAAATAAGCATTTCTTTAAACATAATTTAAAAGCAGTGTAAGGGAAGTAACCAAAGCGTTGTATTTGGATTACCTCCCTTACACTGTTTTAAATTATCTTAATTGTTCATTAACCATTACTTTATACATAATTTAAAAGCAGTGCAAGGGAGGTAATTTCAATGATGTATTTGATTTATCTCCCTTACACTGCTTTAAATTATGTTTTGTACTAAAGTATTTGTCCATTTACCAGGACAACCTTGTTTTTCCCCCTTTTTTGCCCCTAATTCCTAAACGGTTTGAGCAATAACCCCCCAAAGCAAATCCTAACCATCCCTTTGTGGTATGGAAACTTGTAGTATAATTTCAGAGAGATCAATACACCATTCCACAGTTATTGTCTGGAAACTAGAAAATGCTTATTTCTGGCCCCTTTTTGGCCCCTAATTCCTTAACTGTTGGTACCATAACCCCCAAAATCAATCCCAACCTTCCTTTTGTGGTATTGAACCTTATGATAAAATTTCATAGAGATCCATTCACTTAAACTAAAGTTATTGTGCGAAAACCCATGTGTCTTCGGACAACAACGACGACGACGACGACTCCAACGTCATACCAATATACGACCGCAAAAAATAAAAATAATAAGATATATATGAAAAGCTACTTTTGAGATTGCACACAAACAGTTAATATCGACATATTTATTAATTGTATGCTCGATCATTCAACATGTACCAACCATGCAAGACCCTCATGGATAGTCAAGGTCATTAAAAACCACCTTCATCAACATGTGAACCGTGAGTGCGTCTTTCTATGTCGTACAACACCACCCAGATAGTCAAATTATCAACCGTGCTAAACCCTCAGTCGACTCTGTCATAAACCACCCTCATCGTCCAGTAACACCAACTGTGCTATACCGTCATGAGTTGTTAAAAAACCCCATCATAGTCAAGTAATGCCAACCCTATTAAGTAGTCACAGTTCAAAAACATCCCGTAATAGTACAACACAAATAACTGTTCCCACACCAATAGTCAAAGTCTTTAAGTATATTTAAATATTAATAGTATTAAGGCATTTTATATCAATTAAATATATATAACTCAACCTATCATAGAGTTACACATAATATCTGTATCATCAGTTAGTGTTCATGGGATGAAAACATAATATAAGGAAAACTTAAAAACAAAACAAATTAAATGTATAAAAACACGTTCAGGGGCTTACCATGTCCTTATCATGGTTTATTTCTACAGCTTAAAAACTGTAAATAAAATTCAGTATAAAAATGTAAAAATTATTAAATATTCAAAAACGATACTGTCTGGTAAAATTAACATCCTTGCTTGAATAAAGATTAGTAAAGTCAAATTTGAAGTCAAATATTTAAGTCAGAGCATCATGACCCAAAATAACCCCCATCTGAGACATCCTACGGGCCTGGGCAAACGGCATTTGTCTCTAAAAAATAATCACCATTTACTGACAACAGAGAAGAACGGAAATGATAAAAACTGTATTTTTCACTAACAAAAACAAATATCAATTACACATTAAATGTACTTTAAAATATACTACCTTTGTAGCTTGAATCTTCTTCCATGTTTTCAATGCTGCAAGAGTATTATGTTGTATACTAAAAACCAACTGTCAAACTTCTTCCGCAATTGAATATCAATCACAACGGCAACTTTTTTCGCAGAAAGTTCGGATAGACGAATCAACTTTCGAATTAATTGTTGAAGTTTAAACGGATTCGGGAAAGCAACATCACATAGCTTGAAATGGAGACAGTGACATGGGATTGTACTGTTGAAGATATCTTTGTATCATTGGAAGAAAGATGGTTGGCAACGATGGGGAGTGTTTAGTTTGGGAGCAAATTGGACACGGAAAGTCAGGTGCTCTTAGTTGTCGAGCCTTCGACTTTTGTCGAAAAAGCGAGACATAGCGATCCTACATTCCGTCGGCGTCGTCGTCGTCGTCGGCGGCGTCCACAAATATTCACTCTGTGGTTAAAGTTTTTGAAATTTTAATAACTTTCTTAAACTATCCTGGATTTCTACCAAACTTGGACAGAAGCTTGTTTATGATCATAAGATTATATTCAAAAGTAAATTTTGTAAAAAAAAAAATCCATTTTTTCCGTATTTTACTATAAGTGGACTTAGTTTTTCTGCCAGTTAACATTACATTCACTCTGTGGTAAAAGTTTTTAAAATTTCAATAACTTTCTTAAACTATCCTAGATTTCTACCAAACTTGGAAAGAAGCTTGTTTATGATCATAAGATAGGATCCAGAAGTAAATTTTGTAAAAAAAAAATTCCATTTTTCCGTGTTTTACTTATAAATGGACTTAGTTTTTCTGCCAGGAAACATTACATTCACTCTGTGGTTAAAGTTTTTGAAATTTTAATAACTTTCTTAAACTATCCTGGATTTATACCAAACTTGGAAAGAAGCTTGTTTATGATCATAAGATAGTATCCAGAAGTAAATTTTGTAAAAAAAAAATACCATTTTTCCGTATTTTACTTATAAATGGACTTAGTTTTTCTGCCAGTTAACATTACATGGTTAAAGTTTTTAAAATTTTAACAACTTTCTTAAACTATCCTGGATTTGTACCACACTTGGACAGAAGCTTGTTTATGATCAAAAGCTAGTATCTAGAAGGAAATTTTGATTAAATTTTGTTCCATTTTTTCTGTATTTTACTTATAAATGGACTTAGTTTTTCTTCCAGTCAACATTACATACATTCTGCAGTTTAAGTTTTTAAAACATTTATTAGATTCATAAATTATCCTGGATTTTTACCAAACTTGGACAGAAGCTACTTACAATCAAAACATAGTATAGAGGGGAATATTTTTATTAATTTTTTTCCTCAATTTGTTGAGCCTGCGATTAACACCAAAAGTAGGCGAGACACTGGGTTCCGCGGAACCCTTACGAATTTTTTTGATAATCTACTGTTTTCTATGCTTGAATAAAATGCTCCACAGGGCGCAGCTTGATACGACCGCAGAGGTCGAACCCTGAACAGTTGGGGCAAGTATGGACACAACATTCAAGCTTGATACAGCTCTGAATTTGGATTGTGATTAAATATTTGACACAGCATAGGTTTCTGACACAGAATGAATGTGGTCTAAGAACTTAAAAATTTTAAATTGGACATTCACTTATTATGGTCCAATATCCAAAATCTAAATACATGGTTAGATTCAGCATATCAAAGAACCCCAAGAATTCAATTTTTGATGAAATCAAACAAAGTTTAATTTTGGACCCTTTTGATCTCAATGTGGACAAAGTTGATAACAGGGCCCAAAAATCAAAAATCTAAATACATGGTTAGATTCAGCATATCAAAGAACCCCATATATTCAATTTTTGTTGAAATCAAACAAAGTTTAATTTTGGACCCCGATTTGGACCAACTTGAAAACTGGGCCCATAATCAAAACTCTAAACACATGTTTAGATTCAGCATATCAAAGAACCCTAAAAATTCAATTTTTGTTAAAATCAAACTAAGTTTAATTTTGGACCCTTTGCACCTTTATGTAGACCAATTTGAAAACGGAACCAAAAATTAAGAATCTAAATACGTGGTTAGATTCTGCATATCAAAGAACCCCAATAATTCAATTTTTGATAAAATCAAACAAAGTTAAATTTTGGACCCTTTGGACCTCAATGTGGACCAATTTAAAAACGGGGCCCAAAATCCAAAAACTTAATACACGGTTAGATTCAGCATATGAAAGAACCCCATATATTCAATTTTTTTATTGAAATCAAACAAAGTTTAATTTTGGACCCCGATTTGGACCAACTTGAAAACTGGGCCCATAATCAAAAATCTAAATACATGGTTAGATTCAGCATATCAAAGAACTACATATATTCAATTTTTGTTGAAATCAAACAAAGTTAAATTTTGAACCCCGATTTGGACCAACTTGAAAACTGGGCCCATAATCAAAAATCTAAATGCATGGTTAGATTCAGCATATCAAAGAACCCCATATATTCAATTTTTGTTGAAATCAAACTAAGTTTAATTTTGGACCCTGTGGACTTTTATGTAGACCAATTTGAAAACGGAACCAAAAATTAAGAATCTAAATACATGGTTAGATTCGGCATATCAAAGAACCCCAATAATTCAATTTTTGATGAAATCAAACAAAGTTAAATTTTGGACCCTTTGGACCTCAATGTGGACCAATTTAAAAACGGTGCCCAAAATCCAAAAACTTAATACATGGTTAGATTCAGCATATTAAAGAACCCCAAGAATTCAAGAATAAAACCCCATTGAAATTGATCAAGAAATAAGCAACTTATACGAAGTATATTCTTTTGCACAATACTGTGCAATTGAATATTTCTTGCTATTGCGCAATACTGTACAATTGACAATTTCTTGCTATTGCGCAATATTGTGCTATTGGATATTTCTTGCTATTGCGCAATACTGTGCAATTGAAGATTTCTTGCTAATGCGCAATACTGTGCAATTGAAGATTTCTTGCTATGGTGCAATACTGTGCAATTGAAAATTTCTTGCTATTGCACAATACTTATTGTATAATAATTTACACATCCTGTTTGGTGTGTATCTCCTTCCATATCATTATTATTTGCTTTTAAATATAAATCAGAAATAACCAACTTAAAATGGAAAATTTTAAAAGAAAATAAAAGGAAAAAAAGAAGAAAAAAAAATCCCCCCCCCCAAATTTTTTGAACCCCCTTATGATTCATCACCCCCAAACTCAATCCCAGCCTTCCCTTTGTGGTATGGTACCTTGCAGTACAATTTCAGAGAGATCCATACACTTGAACACAAGTTATTGTCTGGAAACTAGAAAAATGCTTATTTTTGGCCCCTTTTTGGCCCCCAATTCCTAAACGTTTCAGGCAATTACCCCCAAACTCAATTCCAGCTTTCCCTTTGTGATATGGAACCTTGTAGTACAATTTAAGAAATATCCGAACACTTACACACAAGTAATTGTCATGAAACTAGAAAAATGCTTGTTTTTTTCCCCTTTTTTGGCCCCTAATTCCTAAAATTTTGAGGCAATTACCCCCAAAATCAATTACAGCCTTCCCTATGTGATATGGAACCTTGTGGTACAATGTCTGAGAGATCCATTCACTTACACACAAGTTATTGTCTGGAAGTTACAAAAATGCTTATTTTTGGCCCCTTTTTGGCCCCTAATTCCTTAACTGTTGGTACCATAACCCCCAAAATCAATCCCAACCTTCCTTTCGTGGTATTGAACCTTATGGTAAAATTTCATAGAGATCCATTCACTTAAACTAAAGTTAGAGTGCGAAAACCAATGTGTCTTCGGACGACGCCGGACGACGACGACGACGACGCCAACGTCATACCAATATACGACCAAAAATTTTTTAATTTTTGCGGTCGTATAAAAACAGGCCCAAAATCAAAAATCCAAAACACTGTTAGATTGGGCACATCAAAGAACACCAATAATTCAATTTCTGATGAAATCAAACAAAGTTTAATTTTGGACCCCAATTTGGACCAACTTTGAAAACCAGGCCCAAAATAAAAAATCTAAAACACTGTTAGATTGGGCATATCAAAGAACACCAATAATTCAAATTTTGATGAAATCAAACAAACTTTAATTTTGGACCTCAATTTGGACCAACTTGAATACTGTGCCCAACATCAAAAATTTAAATTCAATATATCAAACAATCCCAAGAATTCAATTTTTTTTTTAAATCAAACAAATTTTAATTTTGGACCCTTTGGACCTCATAATGTGGACCAATTTGAAGACAGGCCCCAAAATTAAAAATCTAAATACATGGTTAGATTCAGCATAACAAAGAACACCAACAATTCAATTTTTGATGAAATCAAACAAAGTTTAATTTTGGACCCTTTGGACCTTAATATGGATCAATTAAAAAAACAGGGCCCAAAATTCCAAATTCTAAATAGATCCCGCAAATCAAAGAATGTCAAGAATTCAAGACTTTGAAATAAACCCCTTTGAAATTGGTCAAGAAATAAGCAATTTATACAAAGTATTACAAAACTATTGTTTTGGCCCCTTTTACCTAAACCGTTAGGGTCATAACCCCCAAAATCAATCCAAACATTCCTTTTATGATATAAAACCTTGTCGCACAATTGAACATGTTAAATAGCTATCCATAGACTTATACTCTAGTTATTGTCCAGAAACCAGAAAATCCTATATTTTTTACCCCTTTTTGGCCCCTAATTCCTAAAAGGTTTGGGCCATGACCCCCAAAATCAATCCCAACCTTCCTTTTGAAGTATGGAACCTGGTAAAATTTCATAGAGATCCATACTTTTATACACAAGTTATTGTCCTGAAACATGACAAAATAAATCCCAACCTTCTTTTTGTGGTATGGAACCTTGTGCTAAAATTTAATAGAGATCCATGCACTTATACTCAAGTTATTGTCTGTGAACCAGAAAAATAATTGTTTTTGTTGGCCCCTAATTTCTAAACAGCTACGAATTCCCAAAATAAATCCCAACCTTCCTATTGTGGTATGGGACCTTGTGCTAAAATTTCATAGAGATCCATACACTTATACTCAAGTTATTGTCTGTGAAGAAAAATAATTACTTTTGGCCCCTTTTTGGCCCCTAATTATAAAACAGCTATGACAATAACCCCCAAAATCAATCCCATCCCTCCTATTGCAGTATGGAACCCTGTGCTAAAATTTCATCCAGATCCATACACTTATAATTTCGCTGCGAGTGTGTGGAAATCACATTCATTGTACATGTATATAATACAAAGAAACTTTGAAAGCAAACTAGTGTAAAATTTATTTAAGACTTATATATTGACGAACTCTTATATTTTAGCTGATGTGGCTTAAAAGCTCAGAAGAGCTTATGTTTATGGTTTATGTCTTTGTTTATATATACTATGCAGACTGTAAATAAAGCTTATTTATTTATCATTATTAGGTCTTTCCACTTTTCCCTTTTGCTTTTGTTCTGATTATTTTCTTTTTCTTCTGCCTAATTTTTTTCTTGAGCTGTATTGATGTTTCAAAAGATGTTGCTTAAATATTTTGTATATGATATTATTATACCGTACATATATTATAAACATTTCTATTGGATAACACGTTATCACGTGACATGGAATAATTCAGTTAATTTTCATTCAATTGCAAGGAAGGACGAATAACCCTAAAAATTTTGCTCCAGTGGTGAATAACCCTATTATTCACAGGCTAATAACCTTTTGAGTTTCTTGATTTGTACACAAGTTATCTCCCATGAAAATGACGTCACAGACGTAAGTAAACAAAATGGCAACGCTCACGTTACAGGAAGCCCATCGAGAGACGAGGAAACAAGATACAAGGCTTTGGATATGCATCTATTGCCGATGACATCTCTTTTAAACGGTCCTTTTCAGGGCCATCAAAATTTTACAAAAAGATTCTACCTTTGTTGTACATACGAGAAATTCTAAGACACAAACTTAATTTTGAACGTTAACTTGTGTTTGTTACTATACAGTAAAGTAAGTGCTTTTTCAATGGTTCAAAAAGCCCTTCCTCTGTTAGTTCGGTATAATAAAACAATTGTGGCCCCTTAGAAGCAATGAATATTCAAAATTGTCAACCCTAAAAAATTGCGCCCCTCAGTGAAATAACCTTCTCCAAAATGAAAATGAGGAAAAGGTCATATATTAAATTTTGATTTTGGCTAATTTTCACTTATTATCAGAAACCGTATAAGATAGCAACAAAATATTTTTACTATTTTGTTAGTTGGGACATGTCATTACACTAAAATTTTGGTTGAAAGGGTACGTTGACATTTAATGAGCATTTTCTCCCCCTCTTATATTTTAAATAAGCTGTATGGTGATATAACTCATTAACCATATATAGAAGAGACCAAGGCTCTTTTGATTTGAGATCCTTGCTTTATGACTTTGAAATTGATGTCAAGGTCAAATGTGAATTTGACGTTCTATATTTTGACCTTTTGTGTAACTTCTTATTGGTACATGATAAAGTCATGAGGTCTTTTACATTGAGTTTCAGACATAAGACCTTCAAGAAGGTCAACCGAAAGTGACCTTTTGTAAACCGGAAGTAGCAATTTTTGCATTATTTTCATGTACAATTTACTAGAACTATATTTTTGGAATCATTGTGAAGTAAGGTTCAAATGTAACCAGAAGTAGCATTTTGTAAACCGGAAGTACCTACTTATCTCCATTATGTTTAGCAAAAAGACTTAAAAACAACATATTTTCGGAATCAGCATAAACTAAGCTATTATCAGACACCAGAATTGACATTTTCAACCAAAATTGTATATTTTCCTGTTTAGATATGTCTTTTTCGGGTGGAAAGACCTTCAATTGCTCTCTGAACAATTTGTTTTTAATTTATTATAGAAAACATTGCCACTCGGTCTAAAACACCAAATCAAAAGGAATAACCATTTGGATACTGTACATTTTTACTTGAAACAAAGTCATGTCTGTAGACCCTGTCTGTAAAATTTATCATCATTTTGCTTAGGATCAGATTGTAGTAGCCTACCCACGTGCTTAAAAAGAGATCACTAATAATCAGATTGATTATTCTTAAGAAATCTAACATAATTTTTCTTAAGATCAGGTCATAGTAAAGTATTCAGTCAAACTGCCATTTTTCACTGATTCCTCCTTTGACATAATCAAATACATGTACAGAATCCGAATTTTATCAGTCACACCACCTAGCCCCTTTGCTGCAATCTCTCATGAAGTATATACATAATTTATCTAAACTCTAACAGATACTGCTGATGCAGGGACCAATATTAAAGTGTATTCAAATAAACAATTTGGGGACAGCCAGACATTAGGACTGATTCTGAAAGATGTTTTATCGTTTGGTATATTTGCATATACTTGATTACATGTAACTTTATATTTAATTGAAGTTATCTTTGAAAACGGACAAGTTTTTTAAAATCCATTTAACATTTATTGAAATACGAATAAAATACTCCGCAGGGCACAGCTTGATACGACCGCAGAGGTCGAACCCTGAACAGTTAGGGCAAGTATGGACACAACATTCAAGCTTGATACAGCTCTGAATTTGGATTGTGATTAAATATTTGACACAGCATAGGTTTCTGACACAGAATGAATGTGGTCTAAGAACTTAAAAATTTTAAATTGGACATTCACCTATTATGGTCCAATATCCAAAATCTAAATACATGGTTTGATTCAGCATATCAAAGAACCCCAAGAATTCAATTTTTGATGAAATCAAACAAAGTTTAATTTTGGACCCTTTTGACCTCAATGTGGACAAAGTTGATAACGGGGCCCAAAAATCAAAAATCTAAATACATGGTTAGATTCAGCATATCAAAGAACCCCATATATTCAATTTTTGTTGAAATCAAACAAAGTTTAATTTTGGACCCCGATTTGGACCAACTTGAAAACTGGGCCCATAATCAAAAATCTAAATACATGTTTAGATTGAGCATATCAAAGAACCCTAAGAATTCAATTTTTGGTTAAAATCAAACTTAGTTTAATTTTGGACCCTTTGGACCTTAATGTAGACCAATTTGAAAACGGAACCAAAAATTAAGAATCTAAATACACGGTTAGATTCGGCATATCAAAGAACCCCAATAATTCAATTTTTGATGAAATCAAACAAAGTTTAATTTTAAACCCTTTGGACCTCAATGTGGACCAATTCAAAAATGGGGCCCAAAATCCAAAAACTTAATACACGGTTAGATTCAGCATATTAAAGAACCCCAAGAATTCAAGAATAAAACCCCATTGAAATTGGTCAAGAAATAAGCAATTTATACGAAGTATCTTCTTTTGCACAATACTGTGCAATTGAATATTTCTTGCTATTGCGCAATCCTGCACAATTGACAATTTCTTGCTATTGCACAATATTGTGCTATTGGATATTTCTTGCTATTGCGCAATACTGTGCAATTGAAGATTTCTTGCTATTGCGCAATACTGTGCAATTGAAGATTTCTTGCTATTGTGCAATACTGTGCAATTGAAAATTTCTTGCTATTGCACAATACTTATTATATAATAATTTACACATCCTGTTTGGTGTGTATCTCCTACCATATCATTATTATTTGCTTTTAAATATAAATCAGAAATAACCAACTTTAAATGGAAAATTTTAAAAGAAAAAAAAAAGGAAAAAAAGAAAAAAAATGAAAAAAAAAAAAATCCCCCCCCCAAATTTTTTGAACCCCCTTATGATTCATCACCCCCAAACTCAATCCAAGCCTTCCCTTTGTGGTATGGTACCTTGCAGTACAATTTCAGAGAGATCCATACACTTGACCACAAGTTATTGTCTGGAAACTAGAAAAATGCTTATTTTTG